CTAACATTCAGAAACATGGTAACACTCCAGGCCTGGAGTTTACCCTACACGCCAGTTTCAGGAAACATTTCCATCTTGGAATGCCATGTTAAGGATAAAATCCCCACAGCCACAGTCATCAACTAGTCTTGGCCCAGGCATGCATGCTGTCGATCAGGCAGGGGAAATGTCTCACGTTCCCCAAAAGTAAAACACTACCACCAAAAGAGTTTCCTTTGCAGGGTCAGATAAGGCAAATCCTTCTATATACTCCATAGAATTAACCACAAACAAGGAGAGAGTCACCGCACTTGCAAGAAAATGGGCACAATGGGGGTAATAGGAGCCCATCCAACCAGTCTCAGTAAAAAAAAAAAAAAAAAAAAAAAAAAAATACCGTGTTTTCTCTCATTTGTGAGTCCTAGATTTATAGATATATAAAACCATGTATGTGTCTGTGAAACTGTACGGAAGAAGGGAAACTGAGGAACAAAGGGAACTAGCCAGAGGGAGAAGGGGTTGGGGGAAGCTCAGCATTTGTGTACTTTGAGGAAACAGTACTCAGTAACATAGGGCCATGAACAAGATACAATGAAAATTTGAAAAACGGAATTTTCTTTGTAAAACAAAGGGAGGAGAAACAACGAAGAGCATGATGATGAGAATGTGTTATTTCTCAGATCTTCCCAGTGCCTTGGGATAGCAAGGGATTCAGGATGCACCAAATTGAGAAGGAAAGATCCCTGCTGCTGTTTGCCTGCTGCCAGTCATGTTTGCTCCATGAATGTTACTGCCATTAGCTAAATAATGTGCTACTGGCTCCACCTGCTGTTCGCAGCTAGAACTGCGCTTTGATTGCCTCTTTTCATCAAGCTGAGAGCAGGCAAGTTTCAAGTCAGGGGCTGGTATCTATCTAGGTCTTCCCCATGCTAAGGATAGGACCCAAGCCCTTTTCAGACCCTGGCACATGTTCTCACGCCTAGCTACACCCCCTGCCCTGGACCTGATGCTCTCTGTTCAATTTTGGAACTAGAAAGGGACTTTGGAGGTGGAGTTAACATAACTTTCATTTGACAGATAAGTTGATTGCTCTTCATTTGATTTAGTTAGAAGACACGATTTTTTCTTGGTTTTGTTTTGTTTTTCAATGTGTAGGCCATTTGCTCAGAGGAAGGCAATGCATTCCTAACCCTCCTCACACAATGACCAGATTCTATTGGATGTGTTATAAACAGAGGGGCCATTCTTTAGACCCCCTGCTCTGAGCACACCCTAAATTTACAGATTTCCTTTAACTGCTATATTTGTTTCTTGGGGGGGGGGGGAGTGGCGACCTGCTAGATCTGATGGCTCAAGCCTATAATTCCAGCACTTACGGCAAGAGGATCAAGAGTTCAAGGCCATCTCAGGCTAAAATCTCATGTTCGAGGGCAGCCTGGACTGTAGAATAAGAAATCTTGCCACATACAATCGAAGCGAAGAAAAAGGAAGTCCTTTAATCAGAGCTTGCGTTGAGGAAGTGCTGTCACCGCACACTTCTAAGGAAGTCACACTCCAGAGTGTGGGAAGTACAAACTGAACCCAACACTTAAACAATCGCACCAAGAACACGGGTTAAATGAACACACAGAAGCCATAAGAGCACAATACTAAAGGCCCAAGGAATTCCACACATGCATACATGAAATTCGCACAGCACATTTTTAATTCACTAGCTGAACAGATTTAATTGCTCCCAGTCACAGATAATAATGATCCATTTACACTGAAGAACATACAGGTCTCTATACATGGTGACTCTCTCACAAAATACACATCAATTAACAAAATCTCATGGTATTAGTAATTTGATTTCATAAATACAAAAATAAAACTGTTATAGAATGAATGATACAAAATAATACATGAATTTGATACTCGTTTTGTCATCCTAATTGCACTTTATGTTAATAAAATGCCTCTACCACCCAGAAATCCTGGCACTGGGGAGATGGAGACCGGAGAATTAGAAGTCCAAAAACATACACACAAAGTAAAAGGCAACTACCAAATAACTTTCTAGCATAAAATATATTACCCCAGATAAAGTTATGAGGAAAATGTGAGAAGAAAATATGAGTTTAAAAGTATAAGGAACAGCTGAAATTTTAGTGCTAAAGCCTTTATTGATGTGATTTTTAAATCCAATATCAAGTCACGACTGTATTTAAGACCATTTATTTACAAAAAACAGTGTGACTGTTTTATTTTAGATGCTTCTATGGCTGTTGTTGAGACAGGGTCTCAGGTAGCCTACGCTGGCCTATAGCTACTGTGTACTTTTGAAAGCCCGCCTCCAGTTACAAAGCAAAAAAAAAAAAAAAAAGTCAAATAAATAAATAACAGCAGGCAGATCTCTGTGAGTCTGAGGCGCGTTCCTGGACAGACAGGCTACACAGAGAAACCCTGTCTCAAATAAATAAATAAATAATAGGCCTTGAAAGAACTACTTTCCTTAGTGCCATAACTTACAGTTTTCTCGCTTTTTACTGGATATAAGTAACTAAAAAGTGACCAGACTAGGAATGGCAGCACAGATGAAGGCCAGCATGGGCTACATAGTGAGACTTAGTCTCACTTCTTTTTCTAAGTGAATGCATACAAATACACCTGCCCTATAAATATGGATAAGGTCTGCTGACATTCAAAGAGCTAAATGCGTTACCAGTATCACTATACAGCCTTATAATATACTTAAACATGAGGGGAAAGATATGTGAAAGCAACACTCAACAGTCCCTCCCTCCCCGTGTGTGTGTGTGTGTGTGTGCATGTATGTCTGTGTATGTAGTGTATCTGTGTATTCAAGCATATACACCTTAGTGTATGCTTGCAGAAGTCAGAAGACACTTCCTCCAGTAAGTAGTAGATACATATCCAAAAGAACTGGAGTCAGAATGCATAAGAAACATTTGCATTCTCATGTTTAGCTATTTTATTCCGTAACTATACGCCATGTTGTGCAGGTGCCCTCAGAGGCAGTTAAGAGCACTTGTTTTGGAGGACACAACTACCTTTAACTTGGGCTCCAAGGATCTACTGCCCTCTTCTGGCCTCTGACACAAAGGATTATTCAGCCAGCCTTGTTCAGAATATCATAATGGAATTGTCACTAGCAGAAAAGCAGATGGAACTAAAGGATATTATGTTAAGTTAAATAAGCTGGGTACACAAAAACAAACACTGTATTTTCTCATTTGTATGTGGAAACTAAAAAGTTGATATTAAAGAAATATGAAATAGTGGTTATGAGAGTCGAGAAAAGGTGTGGGGAGGGAGGGAGGGATGGAGAAGATAGTTAATGAGTACAGGAGCACATTTGGATAATAGGAATCATTTCTAAAGATCAAAAGCAAAGTAGGATAACTTCGGTAGAAAAAAAATAATTATTAGAAAACAGCTAGCCTGGAGGAATTTTAATGTTGCAGCTGTCTTAGTTAGGGTTTCTACTGCTGTGATGAAACACCATGACCAAAGCAACTTGGGGAGGAGGAAAGGGTTTATTCAACTCACACTTCCACCAAAAGAAGTTCACCACCAAAAGAAGTCAGGGCTCAAAGGGAGCAGGAGCTGATGCAGATGCCATAGAGGGGTGCTGCTTACTGGCTTGCTCCCTGCTGGTTTCTCATCCTGTTTCTTATAGAACCCAAGACCACCAGCCTAGGAGTGAAACCGCCCACAAAAGGCCCCACCCCATCAATCATTAAGAAAATGCCTCACAGCTAGATCTTATGGAGGCATTTTCTCAATTGAGGTTCCCTCTTTTCAGATGACTCTATGTCAAGATGACTACCAACACACAAACACAATAGAGTAATATATTTCTAACATGATAGGTATATCAAATTCCTCTGATCTCATCACTACACACTGTATCCATGTGTTGAAATGCTACTTTATACTCCACAAATGTATAGTTACTATGTCATATATATATATATATATATATATATATATATATATGCCAGCAATATAGCTCAATGAGTAAAAGCACTTGTGCAAGCCTAATGATCAGGGTTCTATCCTGGTAATCCACATTGCAAGGAAAGAAGGGACTCCAGAAAGTTGTCCTCTGACCCCCACACATATGCAGCCTACACCATACACATACACACACACTTGCTTTCTAAAAAAAATAAATACTAAACAAATTCTTGCATTTTATGAAGTTAATGATTGCATCAAGGATAGTGTTAATGCCTCACTTAGCCTGAGCTCGGAGCTCATACTGCCCATCCTAAGAAGGAATGCTTTCAGAGCCTCTTGGTTCCCAAATAAGTTCCTTTGGAGTAGAACATATCTAGAAGTTTCCATTTGCAGTCTAGTCTTCCTGAGTGGAAGCAACGGATTTTACTGTGTGGGATCCTCTGCAGCTGGACAATGGTCCCTACACAGCCAAAACTCTGTTGACTGTTTGGCTTTCAGAGCAGTGCAGTTAATCCTAATTTAAGGCGCCAATGTGCCCACCACAGAGAGGCTTCGGTCAATCTTTAGGTACCCGGAATGGTATTCTCAGCAAGACGAAATACCAAAGAGTGGGGAGGATATTAGAGATCACCAATCCAAACTAAATGAAGACATAATCTTCCCCAGGCCCCTCCATCCAGATGAGGGTGACAACAGAGGCTGTTGCCTAGGCAATGTTGGGAAGGGTTAACGAAAACACAGGACAGAGGCACACTTCTCTGAGTAAATCCGTTTGGGTTCATGCACCCAGGGGGAAATCACTCCGGGCCCGCGTCGCAGGGGATCATTTCAGTGACAACACGCGGTAGCCGGGACATCATCAGACTATGGAACCCTGGCGCCGGCAAACCCTGAAGGCTGCTCGCCTAGTCCCTGGGGCGCAGGCAGCCGGGGCCCTGCGCGTGCACCGTCCACGCTCCCCCCCTCCCCCGGCGCCCCGGCTCCGTCCCGCGCAGGCGCCGTAGCTCGCGCGTCCTGCACGCCGGCTGGCTGCCGCGGCGTCCCGCTCCCCTTACCCGCGAGCTAGCTCCGCCGGCGCGGCCTCCAGGCTCCCGGCGGCCGCCTCGTGGGGCGCCGCCTCCTCGGCCTCCGCGGAAGCCCCGGCCTCGGCCCCGCCGGCCGCCTCCGTCGCCGCAGCCTCCTCTCGCCAGCGCCGCCGGGGCTCCGGGCCGCTCTCGGTCCCCTCCGGGCCGCTCCCGGCCTCCCCGCCGCCCGCGGCCGCCCCGAGCCCCGCGCTCCGCCTGCATGAGGCCGCCCGCCGAGAAGAGCGCGCGAGCCGCCGCCGCCGCCGCCGCCGCCGCCGAGAGCGCAGGCCCCACCGGAAGCGGCCGAGCGAGCACCGGCCCCGGGGATCCGGGTGCGGGCCGGGCCGGGGCGGAGACCGCGGGAGTGATCCGTAATGAAAGGACGGACGCTCTGGGGTCACTTCGTGTGGTCGCTCTTAACCCACACGACTATCGCATGACACCGAGCCCGAGATGTACAATGGGTTGTTTACTTAACTTCCTAAGTTAAAGAGGGTATGTCACTTTAAAATCAGAATTTAGAAAGGAGGTATAGGGTCTAGCGTGAGCTCCACGTGATAGGTGTGTGGACGGTGGGAGAGTGGAAAGGTACTTGAAAAACACTTGTAAACATAATTGCTCTAACTCGCATTTTCCGAGCGCTTCATTCTCATAAGTACTCGTGTTTCCCTCAGTTTGCAATGAGATTAACAGCCCTAGAGAGGTTAACTTTCCTAGCAAGACTTGGCTAGACAGAGTAGCAGGGAAGTTTTAGTAGAAAGGCATGGGAGAGCTGGGGATGTAGCTCCATGGTAGAGTGCTAAATTCGTCTTTGGGCACGGGTTTTTAAAAAGAAGTCAAGGTTAGTTATATCTTAGGAAAGCTACACGAAAATGATGAAAGCACGTGTGCCCTTAATCCCAACACTGAAAATCAGGTGGATCTCTGAGTTCAAGACCAGCCTGGTCTACAGAATGAATTCCAGGACAGCCAGGGCTACACAGGAACCCTGTCTCAAAAGACCAAAAAATAAAAGAATAATGAAAGCAAAGGAATGAAAAGCCTGGCAAAAGAAGTGTCACTGTCTTCCCCTGCCTTTCATGGTCCTTCCTAATAGCCATATATTGCTTCTAATTGTGTACAGCACGTATGTCCAGAATTTAAAAGAGAGACTGGCCCTGCCCTGAACTCCTGAACTCACAAGGAAGATAATTACATAAATATGATTTTTGCTACTGTGAGCTCAGTGCAGTGAGAGGTTCAAGACCAAAGCTAGAAATAGGCTTTTCCTGAGAAGTAGACACCCCAGCTACAGGAGCTGGCCCAGCTAAGAGGTGGGAGGGAGCGGGAGAACCTACAAAGGTGAGGGGGACCCCTGAAGGTTTGTCAACTTGAGAGATTACAATATTTAAAATGGCTGTTATCCCTTGCAGAGCACTTAAAACTCACCAGCTGTCACTGTACACTATAGATTCCTTCATCTGAACTCAGTAGGCCTGTGATGGGAACTACTGCACTAGGGTTTGGAATCTGGATTGAAAATTCAAACCTTAGGTTGGAGAGAAAGCTCCATTGGGAAAATGCTTGCCTCAAATCCCCAGGGCCAACATGAAAAGCCTGTCTGTGTGCCCCTGTGAGAACAGGCAAATACCTGGTGCCCATTGGCCAGACACCCTAGCCAAATCTATGAGCTCCAGGTTCTGTGAGTGTCCTACTTAGTTTCTGTTGCTGTCATAAATACCACGAGCAAAAACAACTTGGGAAGGAAAGAGTTTATTTCATCTTCCCATTTACAGTCTATCATTAAAGGAAACCAGGGCAAGAACTCAAGGCAGGAGCTTGAAGTAGAAACCACAGAGAAATTCTGCTGCCTTTTAAAAACTGCCTTAATTGTATGTGTGTGAGTGTTTTGCCTGTATGAATTATGTGCACACATGAGTACCTGCTACCCACAGACACTAGAAGACCACTTTGGAGTCTCTGGAACTGGAGTCAAATGAGTCACTGAGTTGCCATGTGGGTGCTGGTAACCAAAGGCTGGTCTTCTGAGCCGCTCAGCCACATTCTATTTCCTATGCAGTCAAGCCTCATATGCCTAAAGATCGTCCTGCTCACAGTGGGTTGGGCTTGGCCCTCCCACATCCACCAGCAATCTAGAAAAAGGCCCACAGATAGGCCCTAATGCCAATCTAATGAAGGCCGTTCTTCAGCTGAGGGTCCCCTGCCGTGGTGGTGATATGATCACAATCAAGATTAGCCATCACTGTGAGAGACCCTGTCCGAAAACCATGAACAAAATGATCTTCTATGCTTGTATAATGTTTAAGCCTTTTGGATAAAATATCTAGAGACAAAGGAGCAAAAGGAGTTCAGGTCAACAATGTCTTTGTAAATATCTTTGTAACCTGCATTTGCCCTTATTGTGACCATATTTACTTGTAAACATGTTTTGTTTGTAGAATTTTAGTTGTTTTACATTTGTCATTGTATCAAGTGCATGCTGTCAAGTTTATCTGCATTCTCCTGATAAAAAGCTTCTTTCCATTCCATTTTAAAATTACAAACTGCAGTTTAATAAGACTTCCTATATATACAAATAAGTTTGTAATCCTTTCCTTACAATATTTTGTTTTCAAAATGTTCTTTCAAGGAACAAAAAGGTAGAGAGTGACGAGTGATTGAGGAAGAACCCCCAAATCATCTTCTGGCCTTCATACTTACCCCACATAAACATTCACACTCATACATACACTACAAAAGAAAACACAAACATTAAGTAATTTTGTAGTCATACAGCTAGTAATTAATGGAATGGTCCAAGCCCAGGGTTTTCTGGCTTCAAAGTCTGCATATGCTGTAGAGAAATCAGTCTGTAAAAGAGATCAAAGTTCCAGTCAGAGACATAAAATCACTAGGAAAAGTTCAGGCTATAGTTGTCAGGGTGTAAATGGAGATGAGAGCCAAGAAGACAGCTGGGAAATGGGAAATTTAGAATTTCAACTCCGAATGTAAATAGGGAAGCTAGGATCTGAGAAGCAGTGTTGATGCCCACATTTCTTGCTTGAATGGACAATTAGCTAACTGTGCCATTAGTAGAAAGAGAATCAAGAGCTAGGGAGGAGCTGTACCAGGGTAGGCCATCCAAATCACAATATTTTAACACCGTGTATATGAAAATCTTCATCCTCATTACCCTTTCATGTACTGCAGTAACAATAGTATTTTTAACATTTCATTCTGCGTTATTTCATTGCCAACAGTTAACATTTTGTCAGTTAGTGTAATGGTATAAATAACACTATTGTTTGTGACACACTGCATTATTTTATCTTTTTAAAAATCATTTCTATGAAAAAAATTTAAAAATCATTTCTATGTTTTCCTTTTATTTATGCACACTATATTTTTATTCTTTCTATTTGGTAAGATAGACAGACACTTTGTATCTACCTGTGAAATTGAGAATGCCAGTAGCACTCAGGATTAACGTGTCCTTCCCTATTCTGAGCTCTCAAATTCAGTAGTCCCATCCATCTCTCTGAAAACTCCAAGCACAGAACTGTAACAATAGTAAAGAGAGTCAAATTCTTTTCTCTACATACTATAAAGAAACCCCCAAGACTTACACAGCTATAAAAGCCACTATTAAGAACACACTGGACAATCTAGATTCCATTCTCTACTTGACCAGGTCAAAAATGGTTTGGTACATTATCTCTTCAAAATTCTCTGTTCAATGACCAAGCTGGTAACTTGAAATAAGGCATTGTCTGTATTTAGGGTTCCTATTGTTGTAAAGAGACACCATGAACATGGCAACTCTTATAAAGGAAAACATTTAATTGGGGCTGGCTTACAGTTTCAGAGGTTTTGTCTATTGTCATCATCGTGAAACATGGCGGCGCGCCATCAGACATGGTGCTGGAGAGGGAGCTGAGAGTTATACATTTTGATCCACAGGTAGCAGGAGTCTGTGTGTGCCACACACCAAGCAAAGGAGACCACAAAGCCCACCCTGACAGTGACCTACTTCCTCCAACAAGGGCACACCTATTCCAGCAAAGCCATGCCTTCTAGTAGTATAGTTCCCTGTGGGAGCCATTTTCTTTCAAACTACCTACAGGCATTATGCAAATTTTTACACAATAGAAGTTAGAAATTTTCTGCAAAGCAAGGCTTACACACAGGGGACTGAGCAATCTGAGTTCTTTTGACCTACTAAAGCAAAACACTGGGTAGCCCACAAACAAACCTGCTTCTCAAAGTTCTGAGGTTGACAAGTCCAAGAGAGGGCATGGGCCGTTTACTGTCTGGTGAGGGTCCACTCTCTTTGTTCTCTGCACTTCTTGTTGCCTCCTCAAATGGTGGAGGACAGTCATTTGTTGTATGTCTTCCTCCCTCTCTAAAATTCTGGTTTGTTGTTGTTACTGTTTTGTCAGTAAATTACAAATAAGCAAATACGTTTGATTCCTACCTCTGGCTAACAAAAACACATAAGGTAGCATTTTTATTAGATAAAACTTGATTTTTTACATTTCAACAAGTGTGCCATAAAACACTTGAACAAAATGCCCTAAGGAAAACCATTATTAGAGGAAGTATAATCACATTTTACATAAGTAAATGCTTAAGTACATAAGTACTTAAGTACATAAGTAAGAAATGGAGAATTCTTGCCTATACTTATTTTTTAATGTATATAAAATGCCTTCATAATGTTCATAACCTTTAATAAAAGAAATATACTTCTAGAGACTTTCCTTAAGAATATTAACAAGAATGTACATAAAGGTTTATTTTTAAATGGTACCTGTGACTTTATTTTTTAACTCGAAGCAATCTAAATATGCTTTTTCCCTCTTTTGAAAATAGATTTCTGCTGGGCAGTGGTGGCACACGCCTTTTATCACAGCACTCAAGAGACAGAGGCAGGCGGATCTCTGTGAGTTCGAGACCAGCCTGGTCTGCAAGAGCTAGTTCCAGGCCAACCTCCAAAACCACAGAGAAACCCTGTCTCAGGAAAAAAAGAAGAAAAGAAAAGAAAAGAAAGAAAATAGATTTCTTATATAATATATCCTCCCTCTACTTCACCCAGTTCCTCCTACCTCTGTTCCCACCTGGATCCACCCTCTTTCTGTCTCTCATTAGAAAACAGGCATCTAAGGGATAATAATATCGGACAGAATAAAAAACTAACACATCAGAATAGGACAAAAAAAGACAAATAGAAGGAAAAAAGGCCAAGAAAAGGCACAAGAAATAGACACAGAGACCCGCTCATT